CGTCGAATAGGAAACAACATTTGAAGTATGTGACTTTGACAGTTTGGACGACTAATAGGAATTGACCAATCGGGTTAGACTTACAAATAATTCTCTTAGGATATTTGATGAATATCCTAACACATTATAAAGTTATAGTATCGAGTGAGACCGAAAGTGATGGGTTGAACTTCCTGTTATTGGTAGTCGTGGGTACGCACTACTTACTGATGAGTAGTCCCATACTAGGATGAAATGGCCATCCAGTGCTTCTAGCGTTCTAATACTGATCTAACAATGATTGTGTTAGGATATTCATCCAATATCCTAAGAGAATTATTGCTCAATTCCTATTGGTTAATTCCTACTGTTTAATTTTATGGTCGTCCTAGATATCAGTGTCACGTGCTCCAATGTTGTTTCTTATTGGTTGTCCTGACTATCAATGTCACTTCAGATGTTGCTTCCTATTGGTCATCTTAACTGTCAATGTCACAGACTTCGATGCTGTTTCCTATTCGACCAAAATGTACAAATACGCATTATGTGTAACGTTTTATGACCAGGACCCGGTCCCGGATCCCTAGTCCGGGATCCTGATTCTCTTCTGGACTCAACCTCGTACTTTCTGGATGCTTGTACAATACAGGTTCTACTCCACATACAAGTCTTGTTTTCTTTTACTCAATATGAGGGTTGGTATAATCGGATATGAGTAGCATTTCGTGTCACCGGATCCTCGATCCTCACTCTCGTTTTCCGACCAAGGCAAACTCGTATAGTTCAAGCATATGAAGTTGACGTGTTTACGTGTAGGCGTAAGAGATTGATTCAGGGTTTGAGTGAAATAAAAGAAAGGATCGCTGAATTTATGTTGTATCTATTGTTAACTTATAATAATAATAATACTGTAGTGAACGAGAACACAGGTGGGGCAACCGAATTGTATTTAACGAAAATTACAGAGTTACTCAGTAAAATAGGAAAACCATATCGTAAACGGTTAATTTGCAAATCTTCAATCCATCATCAATCCGTTGTCTGACATTTCGCTTGTTCATGCGTTTCATACAAATTCCATTGTGTTCCCGCTCTTCCCCCATCTTCTGCTGTTGCCAGACATTACGTTTCCACTCACGTCATATACTACTTATAAGTAGCTCACACCACAATACTACTACTAATAATAATAATAATTCTGTTCAATGTAGAACTTTAATTGTTCAATGTTAAATAGTATGTTTCTTCTCCTTCTTCTTCTTCTTCTTCTTCTTCTTCTTCAATTTTAAGAGATTTATCAAAACCAATTAAACAATCTGAACATTCGATCAATTCAACTAATGATCGTCGACACTTAAGACGTTATCAACAATGGCACACACAAGCGCAAAAACCATTTACACCAAGATTTTTTAATATTTGTAAACCAAATTTTGGTAAAGATTTCATAAATTCCAGTCAATCAATAATAGTCGATTTGAAAGCAGCAGCAGGTGACAAACCAAAACATTACAATGAAGCGAATGAAGATTCTTTCCGGTAAACTGACTATTGATTTTGTATTGTAGTGTGATAGAGATCGTTGGTTTTGTTAATGAAATCGTGAATGAGTCATCATTGTTGTTAGACTACCACCATTCCTAATCTTCTGGATGCGTCAGAACTTTCTCTACCTTTGTCTTTTTAACCTTATCTTACTGAATTATACTTCTTGAATAATATCTTCAAACCCTAGTCTTCTTCATTACCATTAATACCTCTACTATGTTTATCACACTATGGGATTTGATTTGACATTTGCGTCTCTGTGCTAATGTGGTGTGGTAACCTGAAGTGATGTATGCATATGCGAAGTTCTACGTTGCAACTGACTGACTGACTGACTGACCACCATTACCACCATTAGAAACCTGGAGGCACTGGATGACCGTTTCATTCTAGTATGGGACTACTCAGTCAGTCAGTCAGTCAGATGCAACGTAGAACTTCGTACGTAAGTACATCAGTTCATGTTGCCATACCACATCAGCACAGAGATGTAATTGTCGATTCAAATCCAATAGTAGAAGAGGTAGTTAAGGTATTAGAAGTAATCGAAGAGGTTAGGATTAGAAGATATTATTCAAGAAGTATGATTAAATGAGAAAAGTTTAGAAAGTCAAAACAAGAGGTGTTGGAGAATCCAGAAGACTAGGATTTGAGAGAACACAAAGAATAAATGCACCGGCGCCATTGCAAACGATTTTGAGTCATGTCATTCAAGGTCTCTAACCATCGATTATTATCATCTCGCGGACCCCAACCAGGTAATCGACAACTACCTACATGACTATGTCCACTTGTCAATGACTTCATGGATTTCTGCCATGTTTTGGTTTGGCCCCCCTTAACTTTCTTCCAACCTACTCCTACACTAAAAAACAAAGCTCGTCGAGGCAGTCGGTGGTTAGGCATACGTAACAAATGTCCCAACCACCTCAACTGGTGAAGTTTCAATACTTCATCTACTGATCTGCCATTCTTACCTAGCACCCGTTACCTAACGACAGCATTGCTTACTCGGGTGATGGGACTTCTCATCAGTAGTGCTTATCCATGACTCCTGCTACTAGTAGGATAAGAATTTACAATCTCCAGTCTTGTGCGTTAATGTCCAACTCTGATCAATTTAGGGATTTTGCGCAACGTCAACCATTGTGTTCGGTAGACAACTGCCTACACCCGACATAGGGTTGAACTCCGAGAATTTCCTCACGAAGCTGCTTACCAGAGATCACATTTTTTTGATTTTGTATTATAGTAGGAGTAGCAGGAGTCGTGGATACGCACTGCTGATGAGTAGTCCCATACCAAGAGAAAATGGCCGTCCTATGCTTCAAGGATTCTAATGATGATGGTCTAACAATGATTTATTCATGATTTCAAGGTTAAAATAAAATTGTTTTTTTATTCAATTATTCGGATTATAATGAAATTAATTTATTTATATTGAATTGTGTTTAAATCTTTTGCATTACGGGGTTGTGAAGATTGTTAAGTTACGCATTTTTGAAACCATGAATCGATCAATCAATGTTAGACCACCATTAGAAATCTGGAAGCACTGGACAGCCGTTTCGTCCTGCTATTGAACTACTCATCAGCAGTGCGCATCCACGCCTCCTGCTCCCCGCAGGATTCGAACCCAGGACCTTCGGTATTGTGCACGAACGCCCTAACCGTTAATATTTGAGACTGTAGTAATCAGTCTTTTTTTTGCCTGTATGTGTATGTATCCTGTACGGAATTGGCTTGATATTATTGCCTTTAAGTTATAACTATCATTAGCTACAAATGGATAGTATTTAACTGCGGAATCTAAAGCATAGGTTTTGATCTTATTTGGAACTCATCTTTAGTTGCATATTGAGATGGCGGAGAAAATTTTGGTAGCCCAGGTGGATGATGATTGTGGTGGTGGTGTTTCGTTCTCTGAGCTGGATGATGTTTTGGTTGTGGAGCTTTCATTGTTCTTCCACTGAACAACAACATCATCAGCACAAACTTCAGGTAGATAAGTGAAGTATTCGAATTCCTCCACGTTTGACCTGTAGCTTGTTCTGCTAACCCCGGTCTTGATTGGTTGCTATTAACCTTAAACCGGTCGTTGTTTGCACCTTTGTTTTGATTTTATCTCTGCTCTGTTTCTTGATCCTTTGTTTGCCTATAATTTTTCTAATTAGTTCATATATTAGGTCAATGTCGATGTGTTGGTTGACTTGAGTGCCAAGCTTCTAAAAATTCTCTAATGTTCTTTTCAAACCACCTATGCGGTAATCTAAGATTGTCCCAATCGAATGTATGTTCATAATTGTCGGTGTCGGAAGAACAATCAAAGCTCCACAACCAAAACATCCATCTCAGAGAACGAAACACCTCCACAATTAGTTGCATATACCTACCATATCACAGAGAGTTGATGTTCACGCCGCGCAGCGACTCAAACTCAGTACCATCTATTTTAAACACACCATTGCGTTAACAATTTATCTATGGAGTTCAGATAGCAGCCATTCATTTGTAAACTGGTGTTTTGATTATGTATATATATATGCATTCTGTGTGGATTGCCTCGACATTGCCTTTTTAGGTTATAATCATACTTGAATGTGGGGAAACAACCCTTATCCAGACCATTTGTTACACGTAGAGATATAACATAACTCACTAGTTTATAATAAAATTGAATTTATTAACTTTTGTATTTACTAAATTCACTCTTAATGATGTGAGTTCTCAGTTGGTCGATCTAGGAATTTCTTACTCACTTACGCCGGTGTTGGAGACGTTAGATCCTCAGAACTCACTTGATAAACGTTCTAATTTTTTATTTTATTTTTTCGCTCATGGGCTGATCATTTAACCTCCAGATTACATTTGCCACCGGAAAAATTCTCGACTGTCATTGGCTGATGTGTTATTTTAGTTCACCATTTTTGTGGCTCTCCTAAGGACGTTTCTATGATGTGTAAATAAACTCGATTTGTGTGCTTGTTAACCTCAGATGTTCTGGGTACTTGTAAAATACACTACTACGCCTTATCAAGACTTCTTGTTATAGTTAGCAGAGCCTGAGACAACGGATCGAAGTAGCCCATCCTGTCACTGCATCATTTGTCTTCGCTCTCATTTACCGAGTTAGGTGAACTCGTAACAGTTTCAAGCATATCAGTCTGTTACCCTTGATGGAACATAGGCCGCTCACCAACACATTTTTTCTGGTTTGCGTTTTTGCAGTTTGTTGATTTTCTACGGGATAGGGTCACCACTAACTCTTTGCCTGACCCTCTTCCTTTATCCGGGCTTCGGACCGTCAGTTACCTAAGGAGGGTTCCAGGCGGAGTCCAATGTAGGAATTAGTTTGAATGTACTGTGATAATATCAGCAAATAACTAATTGAAAAAACTAATATAACTATTGAGCACTTTCATTTCATCATAATTCACTAATTTCGTTTATTATCACTGGTCAGAGATATAGTTTTGGTACATTTTTGTAGCTATTGTAACAACGTCATAAATTGTGACGTTTTTTGGTTATTATCCCGTTATTATCCCGTTTTATTCATATCATTCTGTTTAGAACGGTCATCCAAGGTCATCGATGTGGTGGACTGTTGTACCTATTCCCTATTGAAGATGGTATGCCATGTGAAAGGTGTAAGAGGTGGCAACAGAAACTGTGTACCAATATGTCATTTTGATGCGTATAAATGTTGTTTTAAAACTGTCTCATTGTAGTTCAGTAGAGAACATTGCCTTACTGGAGCGTCCATGCTAGATGAAACCTTGGAGCTCTTGAATCTGACGAAGAAGTTGTCCAGTGACGACGTCCGCTCAATTGTAGTCTGGTATCAGACTATGATAAGTCAACAACGTACGTACATCGGTTCAAGTTGCCATACCACAGAGATGCGATTGTCATTTCAAATCCCATTGTAGTAGAAGTAGTAAAAGTATTAGCAGGAATCGGAGAGATTAAGGATCGACGATATTACTCATTTAGAATCTATTCAGATAAACTTAGGGAAAGATATAAAGGTGATGAGGAACTCTGAAGGTTATGATTTGCGAGAACACAAAGAATGAATGCACCTGCGTCATTGCAAACGGTTTCAAGCCATGTCATTCAAGGTCTCTAATCATCGATTATTATCATCTCACGGGCGCCAGCCAGGTAGTCATTACCTACCAACATGACTCATTCAAGTTGTCGGCGACTTCATCGATTTGTGTCATATTTTGGTTTGGCCACCCCTAGATTTCGTCCAACTTATTCGTACATCTCAAAACATAACTGGACGAGGGATGTTTACTGGTTGTAACTCATCTCAGTAAATAACTAATTTTCTTCGTTTAAAAATCAACTAATGTAATCATTGTTTGCTTGTGATTTTGTTCGGGACGTTAGATCCACAGAACTCACTTGATAAATGTCTTGATTTTGGATTTTATTCATGGGCTGATCGATTGACCTTGAGATCACATTTCCCATCAGAAAATCCGTGGCCGTGATTGGTTGATGTGTTATTTTAGTACGCTCTTCATGTTATCCTCTCAAGGACGTTTCTATGATGTATAAATAAACTCGATTCGTGTACTTGAGATGATCATTGTATTTGCTCAGTGTTTGTAGAATACACTTTCTACTCCATATCAAGACTTTTTCTTCATCTAATTGGGGCAATGGATTAGAGTAGCCTATCGTGTCACTGTGGTTCATTGTCTCGTTCTCATTTATCGACTAAGGTGAACTCGTAGTAGTAGTTTCAAGTATATCAACTGTTGACGAGCATAATAAATTTTAACTGTTTTTATTTTTCTTCAGTTTCATTTTTTCATTGAATCTGGTAATCTCTTTTTTTTTATTCTTGTTTACACATAATGAATTAATTAATCATTTTCATCGTAGCGATATTATATTTACACAATTATGTTGTGTTTTATGGATTCTGGAACAAATGTATCATTTAACACATCCTGAAATTACTTCAAAATGGCGACCAATTTCAGCATCTTGGGAATTAAGGTAGGAAATAATTTTCAATTCAATTATTTATTCATGTATTTGTTCAAATTTCAATGGATTATTTGCGTTAAATGATTCAATATTCACGACTCCTGCACCCCACGGGATCCGAACCCAGGACCTTCGGTATTGTGTTCGAACGTCCTAACTGAGTATGAAGTTGCGCAACTCCGTGAATTTGATCAAGTTAGACATTAACACCGTTAGATACCGGCTCAGTGGTCTAACGGTTAGGGCGTTCAAGCACAATACCGAGGGTCCTGGGTTCGGATCCTGCTGGATGCAGGTGTCGTGGATGCGCATAGCTGAGGAGTCCCATACCAGGACGAAACGGCCGTCCAGTGCTTCCAGGTTTCTAATGGTGGTCTAACATTGATCGATTCATGGTTTCAAAAAAAAAATGTGTAACTTAACAATCTTCACAACCCCGTACTACAAACGTTTCCATAATCAGGTTGAATTTCAAAATTTTTTAAATTTAGCTATTGCGGTCTATTTAAAAATCAATCAGTCAATCAGCTACAACGTAGAACATTTTACGTACGTATATGCTGTCATACCACATTAGCACAGAGACGCAATCTTTAGTTCAAATCCCATAGTAGTAGAGGTAATAGTGTAGTGAAGGAGAATACAGGTGAGGGCAACCGAATTATATTTAACGAAAATTACAGAGTTACTTAGTAAAATAGGAAAACCATATCGTAAATCATTCATTTGCAAAATATCAGTCCATCATATCGAACTGGACTGTTCCTGTTGCAAACAACATCAATCCATTGTCACTATTCATGCGTTCGTTTCATACAAATTCCATTGTGTTCTTCTAACTCTTCCTTTCTCTTGATCTTCCCCCATCTTCTGCTGCCAGACATTACGTTGACACTTACGTCATATACTACTTATAAGTAGCGCGCACCACATATATATATATATATATATATATATATATATATTTGTACTTAAAATATTAAATTCTTCTATAGAACCAAATTTTAAATTATGCCATAACGTTTTGTTTTTTTTCTGTTTTCACTCGTTAAATGTTCAATTATTATTTGTTCAAAGTGGTGATGATTCATCATCACCAATGAAATTAAAAAAACCAAAAGAACAACAAAATCTTACAAATAAAATTTGGTATCAATTTATTAAAGATACAAGTTCATCAAGACAAACAAAGATAAGATTTCGAAATCAACGAGTAAGTAGTTTAAATGAATTTAATAATAATCATAATAATAATAATAATAATAATAATAATAATAATGAGTCCCATACCAGGACGAAACAGCCGTCTAAGCAGTGCTTCCAGGTTTCTAATAATGATGGTCTTGCAGTGTGTCGATTTACTGCGTGTTCTTAAGCTCGGTAATTAGCTCGTTCAGACTATCGTTGCCAAATAGCCTCTGACGGTTGATAAATCAGAAGATGAACACAAAGTGATGAATACGTTTATTCGGGACACACCACTAAGCGAAGTTGAAAAGCAGCGAACAAAGTGTACGAAACGACGTGAATTGGAGAAGGCTAATGAGCCAACTCCCAGGATTACAATGTGAGCGAATGGGCGAATGTAGCGATGTGGAGAAGGCTAAAAGCCAAATCAAAGAGATTGAGCATGACTAAGAATATATAGTCAGACAAAAATAAGGCAGACATATGACAAGCGAAATAGGCGTGCACACACATGAATAAAAGCGACGAATAGTTGACAAGGTTAAATGACATGTGGGACATGTCATGTGAGCTCATCATACAAACCAGACAATAATAAGAACGAATGATACATATAAATTGTTGCTCACAATACAAATGGTTTGGTTAAAGAAATTAATCGAAAGGGCTTAACCAAGTTAGATGTAAGCGAACTGGAATATTATATGTGGAGGCACTACAGTCTAACAATGGCTGATTGATGATTTTAAATGTGTGAAAACAAATCTCCAAAACTCTAATTGAAAATATCGTAAAATGTACTCGCTAGTGACTAACTAGCTTGGTGAGGAAATTCTCGGAGTTCTAGTTGAGAAGACATGACGAATGGAGGAGTTCAACCCTGTCGGGTGTAGGCACTATCTATCAAAGACAAATGGTTGAGGTGGCAGGCGAAATCCCTTGGTCAATCAGAGTTAGACATTACCGCCGTTGGGTGCTGGCCCAATGGTCCGATGGTTAGGCGTTCGAGCACAATACCGAATATCCTTGGTTCGAATCCTGTTAGATGCAAGAGTCGTGTAGGCGCACTGCTGTTCCGACGAAACGGCGGTCCAGTGCTTCCAGGTTTCTAATGTTGATGGTCTAACAATTATTGATTGATGATTTCAAATGTGTAAAAAAACACTGATCTCCATAACTCTAATTGAAAATAATAATCATAGTAATAACATATATATGTACTGACAATCATTATGTGTTCACGAGGGACTAGGTTTGTAAAGGAATCACTGAAGTCATGACTTGATTAATGTTAGACCACCGTTAGAAAACCACAAGCACTGGACGGCCATCTCATCCTAGTATGAAACTCATCAGCAGTGAGTGCGCATCCACAAGTACTTCGTGAGGGAATTTGCATAGTCCTAAAAATAATTTGTGACAAGTAGCGTTCGACTGTGTTGGATAGAGGCAGTTACCCACCTAAGACGATGGATGATGATTGTGCAATATCGTGGATCGATTGGAGTTAGGTATCAACACTGTTGGATGCCGACTCAGTGGCCAAGAGTCTGCGAGACTGAAGGTCATGGCTTAGATTACTCCAACCCCCATGTTGAGTAAAAGAAGACAAGACTTGATGTGAAGTAAAACCTGTATTCTACAAGCATCCAGAATGTACGAGCAGAAGAGAATCGGGATCCCGGACTAGGGACCCGGGACCGGGTCCTGGTCCTGGTCGTGGCCATAAAGCGTTACAGATAATGCGTATTTATTCATTTCGGTCGAATAGGAAACAGCATCGAAGTCTGTGACATTGAAAGTTAAGACGACCAGTAGGAAGCAACATTTGAAGTGACACTGACAGTCGGGATAACCAATAAGAAACAAGATTGGAGCACGTGACATTGATATCTAGGATGACCATAAAATTAACCAATAGGAATTGACCAATAATTCTCTTAGGATATTGAATGAATATCCTCACACTAATGGTCGTCTAAAAATGGTTGATTGATGATTTCACTGCGTAACTAATAATAATTTGTTTATTTGACCATAATCGTAAGAAAACAACTCCAAAATAGAGAAGTTTCATCCTCTAAGCTAGATGGCTTGATAACGGGGGCTTTTATTAATTATTCTTCTGAACAACAACATCATCTGCACAAACGTTAGGTAGAGAAGTCAATCAAGTATTTGAATTTCATCACACGTATGACTACTCGTTAACACATGCGACGACTCATGGGCGTAGAAATTCTAACATCTCACTTCTTTCTACTTGAAGTTTGTGCTGATGATGTAAACACAATACATACTCCCAAAACCAAACTATCTAGCTTAGAAAGAACGAAACACCATTCAGCTTGAGCTGTTGTAAATTTTCTTCATCATCTCACAGAACACAATAGGTATTAAAAAATATACAAAACAATTTAATGATAAGGTGTTTTTGAAGATAAAAATTATTGAAAATTTAATAAAATATAAGAAATCATTTACCGTAGTGTGGTGTGAGCTACTTATAAGTAGTATATGATGTGAGTGTCAACATAGTGTCTGGCAGAAGATGGGGGAAGATCAAGAAAGAAAGGAAGAATTAGAACACAATGGAATGTGTATGAAACGCATGAATAGTGACAATGCATTGATGTTGTTTGCAACAGGAACAGTTCAGTTCGATATGATGAACTGATATTTTGCAACTTAACGATTTACGATATGGTTTTCCGATTTTACTGAGTAACTCTGTAATTTTCGTTAAATACAATCCGGTTGCCCTCACCGGTGTTCTCCTTCACTACAGTAGAGAAACATATGGATGAATATAGTTTATTCAATTGCCATCACGCTATTTTTAAACTATAAATGCAGTTTGTAAGATAGCGGTTCCTGTTCATTAAGTCACGCTTCTCAGCTCTCTAAGCTAAGATCATGTGTAGTATCTGTCGTTTGCAGTGTAATTTCTGCCACGGTCTCTAAACTGAAACCAATGAAAAAATGAACTGTATGCCCACTTTATGGCTGTGTAATGTAGGAAAAACGTTACTAGGTAAGGATGGCAGATCAATTGATGAAGTAGTAGATCTTGATCAGTGTTGAGGTGGTTCTGAAATGTTTTACATGTGCCCAGGTACTAACTACTTCAACGAGGAATGTTGTTTGATGTAAGGGGTAAACTAGTATGAGGCTTATATATATGCGACTACTCATCATAGGGAGCCAAACAGACCAGGTATGTATACAGTTGCTTATAAAAACATTAATTGTCGTTATCGTGTTGTGCAGATTCTAAGGTGTTTCATTGAAACCATGGATTGATGAGTGTTATACCATCATTAAAAACCCGAAAAGCATTGCATTGTTGTTTCGTCCTACTATGGGACTCATCAGTAGGGCACAGCTACAACCTTAACATTCAGGAATCGAACCGAGGACCTTTAATCAATCAATACCACATTAGCACAAAGATGTAATTGTCAATTCAAATCCCATAGTAGTAGAGGTAGTAAGAGTATTAGCAGTAATCGGAGAGATTATGGTTCAAACATTTCATTCAAAGAGTATAATCCAGTGAGGTAAACTTAAAAAGAAAAAGATCAAGGTGATGGAGAATTCAGAAGGTTAGGTAGGAATTGAGAGAACGCAAAGAATGAATGCTCCTGCTCCACTGCAAACGATTTTGAGCCATGTCATTCAGGGTCTCTAATCATCGAATACTATTATCTCACGGGCCTCAACCAACTAGCTTGTCTACACCTACCGGCATGACTCAGTCCACGTGTCAGTGACTTCATGGATTTGTGCCATGTCTTGGTTTGGCAGCCCTTAGCTTTCGTCCAACCTATTCCTATACAGCAAAATATAGCTCGACGAGGCAGGACCTTCAACTGTGGTCTTTTAGACTAAACCATTGGAATGTAAAAACTAAATTCTGTTGAACATATGATCAACTGACGATATTACTAATAATATTATTAGTAGTATTAAATTGTCATTTTAATATTTCATTTTATTTAGCCTAGTTCAGTGAGAAGTTTGAGTTCTTTACAATCGACAACATTATCTGAACAACGATCTACAACACCATCATCATCAATTATGAAAACACAATCAACAAGGAGAACATCGAAATCCGGTAAATCAACATTATCAAAACGATCAAATTACTGATACTTTTTTTTTGCTAGTGACTGCATTGAACTTGAAGTAAGGCTTATCGATTGAATGACCAGCGATTATTTCTGCTGAGATGGTAGAGAATATTTGTAGCTCGAGGTGGATGGATGATTGTGGTGGTGTTTCGTTCTCTATGAGTTGGATGTTGTTTTGGTCGGGGGCTTTCATTGTTCTTCTTCTGGACAACAACATCATCAACCCAAACTTCAAGGAGAGAAGTGAAGTATTCCAAAGGGTGAACAAAGGTGTGAACAACAACAGGTTTAAGGTCAACTGCAACCAATCAGCAATCAGAACGAGCTACTGGTCAAACGTGGAGAAATTCGAATACTTCACTGCTGTCCCTGAAGTTTGTGCTCATGATGTTATAGTTCAGTAGAACAATGACGAAAGCTCCACAACAAAAACATCTAGCTCAGAGAACGAAACACGACCACGATCTGACTCCTATTTGTACGGACGCTTATACGTTCTATGAAATAAATCTATCCCTTCAGCTTCCATAAATCATACTTAAGGGAACATGTTACGTATGCACGTCAAAACGTCAATTGATATGCTTGAACCATTACGAGTTTATCTTGGTCGGTAAATGAAAGCGAAACAGTGATCCAGTGACACAATTGGCTAAACATGTCATCTGATGCGCTTTACCTTAGTCAGAAAACGAGAGCGAGGGTCGAGGCGACGCGACCGGTTATCCCGAAACCCCATTGAGTAAAAGAAGAAGACTTGATATGAAGTAGAAAGTGTATTCTATAAGCACCTAGAAAGTATGAGGCCCGATTCCAGAAGAGGATAAGGATCCGGGACTGGGTCCTGGTCATAGAACGTTACAGATAATGCGTATTTGCACATTTAGGTTGAATAGGAAACAACATCTGAAATATGTGACGTTGATAGTTAGAAAGATCAATAGGAATTAACCAATAGTAATCGACCAATAGAATCAAACTTACAAATAATTCTGTTAGGATATTGGATGAATATCCTAACAGAACCCCGTAGTAAGAAACCGAATACGGTTTTGTTGCTCAATTTATTTCATGCGATTGTTCATGCAGACAAGTGTGGAGAAGGCGACTGATCTAAGACAATACAACGATGTATGACCAAGTATTTAAAAGATGAAACTGGAAATCATTTTAAAAATCATACACACTTTACGCAACATTTTGAATAATACTAAAATTAAGAAATATTAAATTGCAAATTCGCGGCTGAATTTCTGAGTACCCACCAGCCAGCTAAAGAATGTTACCGATACAAGTAATTGCATTTGAATTATCTGAACAGACAGATACAAGGCAGAACTTCGTACGTAAGTACATCAGTTCAGGTTGCCATACCACATCAGCACACAGAGATGCAACTGTCAGTTCAAATCCAAGAGTGATAGCGATAGTAGAAGTATTAGCAGTAATGGAGAAGATTAGTGAGCGAAGATATGATTTGAGAAGTATAATTCAGTGACATAAATTTAGAAGGAGAAAGATAGAGATGATAAGGAATTCAGAAGGTTAGAATTAGAGAGAACGCAAAGAGTGGATGCACCTGCGCCATCGCAAACGATTATGAGCCATGTCGTTCAAGGTCTCTAACCATCGGTGACTATCGTCTCGCGGACCCCAAACAGATAGCCTACATCTACCAACATAACTCAGCCCACTTGTCAGTAACTTCATGGATTTGTGCCATGTTTTAGTTTGGCCACCCCTAGCTTTCTTCCAATCTACTCCTACGCTGCAAAACATAGCTCGTCGAGGCAGTCGATGGTTAGCCATACGTAACACATGTCCAAACCACCTCAACTGATGAAGTTTCACTACTTCATCTATTGATCTGCCATCGTTACCTAGAACTCGTTTTCTAATAACAGCATTCCTTACTCTGTCGTCCCAGGATACAAGAGCAATGCTGTGGAGACATCGATGATCGAAGACTAGTAACCTACGGAAGTCCTCTACTCTTCACTGCCAAGTCTCGCATCCGTACATTAGGAGTCATCAGTAACGGCACGCATCGATGAGCCGCTCTCGCGAAGATCGGACCCAGGGTTTTCGGTCTCCAGATCACTGAACCGGCATCTGACGGCTCATATGCTCACTACTGACTAGCTCCATAAGAAAACTTCTCCGAGTTCTAGTGAGAAATCATGACTAGTAGAGTTCAACCGTGTGTCCGGTGCGAAGCGGTGCTCACCGAAGACAATAGATCAAGTTGCGCAAGACTGTAGATTGATCGACGTTAGACATTAACACCTATCACTATATTCATCAAATATCCTAGGAGAATTATTTTTTGTGAGTCTAATTCTATTGGTCGATTCATTCTGGTCAATGTTATGGTCGTCCTAAATATCAATGTCACAGACTTCAATGTTGTTTCCTATTGGTCCTAACTGTATAAATATGCATTGTCTGTAAAGATTATTATTCCTTCTGTACTCGACCCCTTCAACAACTTTATCTAACGGTGTTCTGTTCTGATATATTGGAGATTTGGGAACACTAATTGGGATCGTACTGGAATATCTGAATTTGATCAATCGGTAGGATTTCGAATAGCTACATAGCGGATTATAACAATTGGCGCGACGGGGTTGGGATCACAGTGATCTTTTGAGACTTGAATTATTAGCCGAGCAGCAGCTGAACTAATAAAAATGTTGATAGATACCAAGCTGTGGTGGTGAATCAAGTCAATCTGACGTTCGTGTAGTGCTCTACACCTAGTCCAACTCACTTCAGCTCGGTTTAGATTTTGGTTCAATCAGCTAACATTAGCAGATTTCCCGTTAATACCGTATTCCTCCTTGGTAATGGGGATTTAGGACGCTAGGATTAGAGTAGCCTATCGTGTCTACAAACCAAATCACTCTTGATGGAGATGTCTTGGAGGACGTTGACACCTTTACATATCTGGGTAGCATCACCGACAATCAAGGTGGCTCCAATGCAGATGTGAGGGCGTGGATTGGCAAAGCAAGGACTGCATTTCTACAGTTGAAAAATATCTGGAACTCCAAACAACTTTCAACCAACACCAAAATCACAATTTTCAATACAAACGTTAAGACAGTTCTACTGTATGGGACGGGAACTTGGAGAACTACCAAAGCTGTCATCCAAAAGATACTAGTATTTATGAACAGTTGTCTACGCAAAATACTTCGTATTCGTTGGCCAGGCACCATCAGCAACAACGAACTGTGGGAGGAAATAAACCAGATTCCATTTGAGGAGGAAATCAGGAAGAAGCGGTGGAAGTGGATAGGACACACACTACGAAAACACCTAACTGCATCACGAGACAAGCCCTTACAAGGAACCTTCAAGTCAAAAGGAAAAAAGGAAGGCCAAGGCACAACACATTACGCCGAGAAACAGAGAAAGATATGAGAGGAATGAACAAACATTGGATAGAACTGGAGAGAGAAGCCCAGAACAGACAGAGTTGGTTGGAGAATGCTGCTGGTAAGCGGCCTATGCTCCATTCGGTGGGGGTGTAACAGGCGTAGGTAAGTAAGTAAGTAGATCCAAATGGCTTGTATGGTTCAACATTTTACTGATTTATGATGATATCAATGAAACTCAAAAGTCACCACAGTCCTCTTTAAATAATAAATATCACACTTATAATAATTATATTTCTTTATTCCATTTCATAGGTTTAAAAAATCTTACAGAACAATCATCGAATCCAATTTCAAATTTGAGAAAAAATTCAAACAATTCATCAATAATAGTCAATAATTCAAATCAAACAATTTCTGAAAATAATTTGAACAATATTAATAATAATAATAATAATAATAATAATAATGTTACTGTAACTGATACTACACCTACCATGAATCGAAAAGATGTACGATTTTCGGAAATTTCAAATACTTCAAAACAAAATAGAAAGTTTGTTTTATTAAAAATTGTTAAAATACATGTATATATGAGTTATATGAGATTATTTTATTCTCTGAGACAATTGTGATCATGTATGGGTACGTTAGATACTACCCACAGAACAACTCACTTGATAATTGGGCTTCATTTTGGATTTTTTTATTCATTGGACTGATCAGTTGACCTTGAGATTACATTTCCCATCAGGGAAATCTTTGGTTGTGATTGGTTGGTGTGTTATTTTAGTACGCTGTTCATGTTATTCTCTCAAGGACGTTTTTATGTTGTATAAATAGACGCGGTTTGTGTGCTTGAGATCATCATTGTGTTTGCTGGGTGTTTGTAGATGTTACGCTTGCACGTAAACACGTCAACTTGATATATAGTTGAACTGTTACGAGTTTACCCCTTAGTTGGAGAATGAGAGCGAGAATACGGTGACATGACATACTACTCAAATCCAATTATCCCAGCCCCCGCCCCATAATAAGTAAAAATAAGAAGACGTGATATGAAGTAGAACATGTATTCTACAAGCATCCAGAAAGTACGAGGTCCGAATCCAGAAGAGAATAAGGATCCCGGACTAGGGATCCGGGACCGAGCCCTGGTCCTGGTCGTGGTCCTAATCATAGAATGTTACAGATAATGCGTATTTATACATTTTGGTCGAATAGGAAACAGCATCGAATTCTGTGGCATTCACAGTTAAGACGACCAATGGGAAGTAACATTTGAAGTGACATTGATATTCAGGACAACCAATAAGAAAGAACATTTGAAATGACATTGACAGTCCGGATGACCAATATGAGACAACATTGAAGTATTTAACTTTGACAGTTAAAACTACCATAATTTTGACCAATAGAAATCAACCAATAGGATTTGACTAATAATAATTCCCTTAGGATATTGGATGAATATCCTAACAGTAGAATACACTCTCTACAGCTATATCAAGACTTTTTCATCAGTTCCTTTTGGGACAACGGGTCAGAGTAACCTACCTTGTCACTGGTTGATTGTCTCGTTCTCATTTATCGATTAAGGTGAACTGGTCATCATTTCAAGCATATCAAGTGACGAGCAGAACAGAGAATAATAACATAAATGTAAAAATAAATATGAATTGTCCAAAATTACTTTATTTAGTTTTTGTGGTGATAAAAACTAACCACAAATATCTGCAAACTGTCAGTGTTGTTCATGCAACAGAAAAAAATCAGTTTTTGAAAAGACAAACAATGAATGCGTCTATACTACCATGATCATTCATTACAAACGATCTTGAGCCATGTTATTCAAAGTCTCTAACCATCGATGACTATCATCTAGACGGACACCAATCAGGTAGTTTACACTTACCAACATAACTCACTCCCTTTGTCAGTGATTTCATAGATTTGTGTCATGTTTTGGTTTGACCGCGCCTAGTTTCCTTCCAGCCTACTCTCCTACATCAAACAACATCGCTCATTGAGGTAATTGGTGGTTAGGCATTCGTAACACATGTCCCAGCCATCACAACTAATGAAGTTTCACTACATCAATCGTCTATTGATCTGCCATCTTTACCTAATACTCGTTTTGTAACCCCGGCATTGCTTAATTGATAGTCTCAGGATAAACGAACAAGGCATCGATGACACCAATGTTCCAATACTAGTATCCTATGAATATCCTCTACTACTCACTCTTATTAGCCATGTGATTAAGCAGTTGAATGAGGTGTATTTCTCTTTTTCAAATAATTTTCATAATTCTGCCTTTGATTACATCATCATGTATTGTATGGTATTGTTGTTCGTTATTGTTGTTGTTGCCCCTTTTAGCTCAATTACTCAATGGGTTGATTATACAAAAGAAATTCGTAAAATGTCAAGAGAATCATTAACTGAACTAGCAGTAAGTTGAAATTTTAAACATATAACCAATTTTATATGTAATCACTAAAAGTATATTTACCCGCCCCTCTCTTCTTGTAATACTCTCATATTGTTGTGCGCACTACTTATAAGTAGTATATGATGTGAGTGTAAACGTAATGTCTGGCAGCAGAAGATGTGGGGGAAGATCAAGAAAGGAAGAGTGGGGGGAACACAATGGAATTTGTGTATGAAACGCATGAATAAGTGAAATGTCAGACAATGCATTGATGATGGATTGAAGATTTGAAAATTAACGGTTACGATATGGTTTTTCAATTTTACTGAGTAACTCTGTAATTTTCGTTAAACACAATTCGGTTGACCCACCTGTGTCCTCCTTCACTACAATGTAACCAAGCTTATATAACCACTACCGATCAAACTCGACTCATTGCTTTCTTGTGACTAGGGTATTTTGTACAAGATTGAGAGAATGAAAGGTTGTAGTGCCTTCACATACATTTCAGTTCGCCTATATTATTTAATGTGGTCAAGCCTTTCGATTAACTTATTTAACCAAGCTATTTGTATCGCAACAACTTATATGTATCATTGGCTTTTATTCTTGTCTGGTTTGTATATGAGCTGGTACGAATGAACATTACTTACCAACTGCGCGCATACTCGATGACTTCAGACATTTTCCTATGGATATATATGTACATTCTGATCTTATCAATTCATTCGCCAATGTGCTCGCTCATTAGCATGCTTGCGCTTCTCTGTATGCTTGTGGTCTACTGATCCATTTGTGGTGTGCCGAAATAGACGTATTCAACACTTCGTATTCGATTTCTGATTTATAAACCATCAGGTGCTATTTAGTACCGATTGTCTGAACGAGCGATTTACGAAGTCTAAGAATACGTTTGATACCGACCGTCACGAAACTACTGATACACTGGCCACCATAAGGTGAATGTCCAGTGTGTACGAGGGAAGTTGGAAAACACTTTTTCTAGACCGATGATGCACATAGGCCCTAGGATCCTGAGGGAACAAACATCAGATGAATACATTGTCTTGGTTACCGACTACTATGAGGCTGTATCTCCCAACGTTTATCCACTGTTTGTGGATTAGACCTGCAGATCAAAGGCCTGGAGAATGGCGTTTTTAATAAAACCATCTGTTTCGTCTTGGACACCTCTGCAAACATTCTAGCCCACACACGAATTCAATGATTCATGTGGCGCATAAATATTTAGGTACATCTTTGTACCCATATCAATATCATATATACAGATATTACATACACTACTACAGGATTTGGTCATCACAAATTGCTTTTTAAGCGTAAATTTGGAAGTCTGTTAAATCAATTTATCAGGGATGGGTTGAATGATCACTACGGTAAGATTTTGTTAGAACAACTCCCATAAAGTGCAACGAAGCCTCTAGAAGCTCTCAGACAGCTGAAGAGATTCCATCCAATTGCAGCCCGACAGAATTTCTAGAATACTCATGTGCTTAACGGTGATTGGGCAGCCCCGAAATATTCCTCAGAAAGGTTTATAGAAGCCCAGAAATGACAGGATACCTTTCGTCGTGTCAGTAATGAATAGAACCTTCACAGAAACACCTGTAAAATATGAAATCGCCCACAACGATTCTGATTGGATATTTAAATATACCGATACCATATTTAGTATGGTTCTCGAACCTTCCAGAAGCACAAGGTCATGATAACCTTTGAGTAAAGCCTTCATCTGATACTTCGCGCCTTTTCGCTTGCGTTCAAGTTGTTGTGTAGATTTAGTCGGGGTTAATTAGAAATGGGTAGAAATTCAGATATCGCTTCCATCTAGCAAGCTTATCAACTTTCTGTTTGTGGACTGGATGACTCAAATGTCTACAGCTTATATAAAAACTTTAAATACATATGATTGCCCTATTCATTTTAACACTTACTTCAGTAAACACTTAGTCCAGTTTCTCCTGCTTCGTGATTTGCAACTTAAGACATGGTTCTACTCGTTCTACAACGCTGACGTTGTATCCCTGATTAGTATACTACTTCCTGAAAGTCTTCAATTCATGCTGACGTAAAAGCTCGTTGTTATCCTGATACCTACCGCCGTTTGTTTGAATCACTCACTAAATCAACAATGCGATCAAATTAATAATCCTGAGATATTTATTCCCAATCATAACACTTAGTATGGTCTCTAAATACTGTTTTAATTATAATTATTATTGTCATATCCCTAACCTTTGACTAATAAATATCACGTGACAATTACAAAACACCAATCAGAATTACACCTTGGCACTCTAGAAACCTTGAATCATCTCTAGATTCTTATTGGTCCACCACTCAATAGAGCTAATTTCTTCGCCAACCCCCCCCCCTTGCTTCTTCTTAGTCCAGAAGATGTCCGTAAGTCGATCTCCACAAAATTCCGTTATATATTTCAACTGGACATAGTTTATACACATACGAAAACATAACAGATCACATCACATCACAGTATAGAATGAGGAAATACATCTATCATACATTATCGAGGTAAAAACGGCTGTGAATGGAAGAGGAGGAGACTGTCAATAAATAGATTAGGAATAATCAGTCACACAACAGTAATTAAAGGGGTTATAATCAAGAATTTACGATCAAAAGGAATACGAATATGTAATAACGTAAAATGTGCTCACTAGTGACTAGTTTCGTGAGGAATCTTCGAGTTCTAGCGAGAAGATGTGATCAATGGAGGAGTTCAGCCCTGTCGAATGTAGGCAGTAACTACCAAAGACAACTGGGTGAGGTGGTGCGCGAAATCCATTGATCAATCAGAGTTAGACATGAACATCGCTGGATGCCAGACGCCATATCGAAAGCCCTGGGTCCGAACCCTGCGAATTACAGAAGTCATGGATGTGCACTGCTGATGAGTAGTCCCATACCAGGACGAAACGGCCGTCTTTCAGTTCTTCCAGGTTTCTAATGGCTGTCTAAGAATGATTGATTGATGATTTCAAATGAGAATGTATGCAGTAAGTTAGTTAGTTCCACGAGTTCAGTCAGTCAGATGCAACGTAGAATTTTGTACGTACGTACATCAGTTCATGTCGCCATACCACATCAGCACAGAGATGTAATTGTCAATTCAAATCCATTTTGTAGAAGAGGTATTAGAAGTAATCGGAGAGGTTAGGATTAGAAGATATTATTCAAGAAGTATGATTCAGTGAGAAAAGTTTACAAAGTTGAAGAAACCAGAAGATTAGGATTTGGGCGAACACAAAGAATAAATGCACTGACGCCATTACGAACGATTTTGAGCCATGTTGTTCAAGGTCTCTAGCCATCGATTATTATCATTTCGCGGACACCAACCAGGTAGTCGATAAATACCGACATGGCTAGGCCCACTTGTCAATGACTTCATGGATTTATGCCATGTTTTGGTCTGGCCGCCCCTAACTTTCTTCCAACTTATTCCAACACTACAAAACATAGCTTGTCGTGGCAGTCAGTGGTTAGGCATACGCAGCACATGTCCCAACCACCTCAACTGATGAAGTTTCAGCGTTGAGTTCTGGCGTTGGTCTTAAAGACCTGGGTGCGTGACCGCAGAGTCCAAGGAACAACTGCTTAAGGCCGGTCACTCACTGCCTTTTTATAAAAGGTTTTTTGAGGATTAGCTCCGTTCTTAAAGGCCCTTAGTGGGCACCCTTACCCAAGGAGACGGAAATCCGTGAGGTAGGGTGAGGTATGACATTTTTAGGGCCGAACTTTTCTAACCCTTCCTTCCTTGTGAGAACGCAGCATCGCTGCAGATGCTGGTTATCCGAGGGAAACACCTTACTGCTGTCACACCCCTCTACAGTTAGCAGTACGACTTCGCCCTCACACCTTGGTTAGCTTCTTTTAGTCTCATTGTTTTCCAATCGACCAGCCTGGCATGGTAGGACCTGCAGGAACATGTATTCCAGCCAGTATAGCTCGGTTGGGTCATCATGATAGGCAAGCTCGACCACCACGTCAAAGTAGCAGCTACGGTCGGGAGTTCCACGAGTTACCATCTCTCGAATCTCTCTTCCGATACAACAATCGTTTTCTATACATTTTATGACTTTATGTGAATACTTTTTAATACTTAACTGACATTCATTATTATGATGATTTTTATTTGAATAATTTTTAGCATGAAATCGAAGTGGATTTGGACAAGGAAAGTATGCGTGAAACGGAATTACGCATGATCACTCGTGGTCGAATGACATCGAAAAGTGGTGCTAAACCAATAATAACACAAGAGTAGAGTAGTAGTATTAGTAGTAGTAGTTTGCACTTTTTTTGTGTTGTTTTTAAATACAATTTATACATACTTCTTGAATAATAATATCTTCTAATCCTAACCTCTCCGATTACTTCTAATACCTTTACTACCTCTACTACTATGAGATTTGAATTGACAATTATATCTGTGTGCTAACGTGGTATGCTGACATGAACACTGATGTACTTATGTACAACGTTGCATCTGACTGACTGACTGACTGACTGATTTATTTATTTGGTCCTGTTTCCCTTTTTATCACCAAACAATAGAGATTTTCAATGTGTTTTTATTTTATAAAAAAATGTTGATATAATATAAAGGATTAGGTAGCATAAAATACTTAAAATATTTAACCAAGCCATTTGTGTATTGCAACAATTTATATGTACCATTCGTTCTTATTATTATTGTCTGGTTTGTATGATGAGCTCACATGACGTGTCCCACTTGTCATTTGACCTTGTCAACTATTCGTCGCTTTTATTCATGTGTGTGCATGTCTATCTCGTTGATCATATGTCTGTCTTATTTTCGTCTGACTATGTATTCTTAGTCATGTTCTCTCTTTGAGTTGGCTCATTAGCCTTCTCAAGTTCATGTCGCCTCATTCGTTTTATTCACTGCTTCTCCGCTTCGCTTTGTGATGTGTCCCGAATAAACGTATTCATCACTATGAATTCATCTTCTGATTTATCAACCGTCACAGGCTATTTGGCAACGATTGTCTGAACGAGTTAATTATCGAGCTAACTCATGAATAATTTTTTTCTTTGAAATAATCAAAATCTATATTGAGAATTTCATGGAAACAAAGAAAATTGATTTTAGGCGGTGAAAATTACCTGACGCCATATTAAAACAAACAAAAAAAAAACGAGGAAATGAACATTTAACCGATGCTTATCGATGTGTTCATTTGAAAAGTTGACTTCTTTTGATCAATTAGAGTTATGGAGATGAGTGTTTTCACGCATTTGTATTCATCAATCAATCGATCAATCATTGTTAGACTACCATTAGAAACCTGGAAGCACTGAGGTAGTGCAAAATCCCTAGATTTACCAGAGTTAGAAATTAACACCGTTGGATGTCGACCGACCCAGTGGTCCAGATGTTGGGTGGTTGCGCGCGAGACTGGAGGTCCCGGGTTCGAGTCCTGTGATTAGCAGGAGTCGTGGATGAGCACTATCAATGAGTTCTATACCAGAAGAGAACAGCCATCCAGTGCTTGCGCCTTTTTAATAGTGGTTTAACAATGATTGATGATTTTACTACTTTGATCTACTGATTTGAGTTAGTTTTAATGGCGAGTCACATCAGGTTGATAGTGGTTATATTATTAGGATGTAAAACTGAATCGTTTCGAGTAATCTATCGTATACCTTCATCATCACCTCCCGACTGAGTTTGATTCTGTCACTTATGATATAGCGTAAACTATAGGATCCGACCCTTCAACCTCAGTTTATGTGTTCAGTAAAGATTCCTAACACTCATGGATTTGCTTGTCGTTTTCCGCCTTTTTCTGTCGATATTCTTCACCACCTGATTAGTTAACACTCTTCTTATTACGTAATTCTATTAATGTTTTGTGATTATTATGTTAAGTCTATTTATCGAAGTTTGATCTACTACTACTCTCAACAATGAACTACTGACAAAAGCCTTTGTCATGATATTTTATTATTCGTGTCATTACTAATAGTACACCTATCCTCCTGTTACGATGCACGTCACCACGTCAGTTGATATGCTTGAACCACTACGAGTTCACCTTAGTTGGTAAACGAAAGCTAAGATAAATGACCCATTAACACGATAGGCTACTCTAATCCGAGCGTCACAACCCTCCATTAAGTAGAAGACTTGGTATGAAGTAGGAAGTGTATCCTACAAACATCCAGAAAGTACGAGGTCCGAGTCCAGAAGAAGATTGAGGATCTCTGAATAAGGATCCGGGTCATAAAACGTTACAGATAATGCATATTTATACAGTTAGGTCGAATAGGAAACAACATTGAAGTATGTGACATTGATAGTTAGGACGACCAATAGGAATTGACCAACAGAATTAGACTTACAAAATAATTCTCTTAGGATATTGGATGAATATCTTAACACCTCCTATACTACCAACTTATACTATCCCCTATGATGTGTAGTTATGTATTCTGTTTCATTGTGATCATTGAATTTGAATAAATTGGCTTGCTCGGTGTAACATTTTGATATATTCAAATATCAATGTACATGTTAGACTAATAAGCTCGATTTTATTTTAAGTTTATTGTCTGGATACTGAATACAATTTTTTTGTCAAATTTACATTGTGTACAGGATGCACATGTGCCAAAAACTGACCAATCACCATTGCAGTCCTAATTATCAATGAGGAGATTCTATCACAATTTTAACGAGTTATGGAGATTGTTATGTTTCATTGAAATAATAGATCAGTCATTGTTCGACCACCATTAGAAACTCACAAGCACTGGACAGTCTTTTCGGTTCAGTAAGGGACTTATCAGTGATAGTGAGCATCCACGACCCTTGATCTTGGAGGTTAAGCGTTTGCAGGCGAGACCAAAGGTGTCGGATTCTGTTTCTGCTTTCGGGATCGTGACTGTGCACTGCCAATGAGTTCCATACTAGGATGAGACGACCGTCTATTGCTTCCAAGTTTCGAACTTTAGTCTAACATTGATCGATTCTGTTGGGGACGTTAGGTCCCCAGAACTCGCTTGATAAATATCCATATTTTGGAGACATTTCCTGGGCCGATCAGTTGACCTTGAGATTACATTTCCCACCAGGAAAATCCTTGATTGTGATTCGTTGATGTGTTGTTTTAGTACGCTATTTTTGTGACTCTTCCAAGGACGTTTCTATGATGTATAAATAAACGCGATTTGTGTGCTTGAGATCGTCATTGTGTTTGCTATATCAAGACTTTTTCATCAGTTCCTTCGAGGCAACGAATCAGAGTAGCTTACCGTGTCACTGGTTCATTGTCTCATTCTCGTTTATCGTCATCGTTTCAAACATATCAAGTGACGAGTATATTAGTTTCATTATTTTAGTGAAACCAAACTATTTGTTGTTATTGTGGTTTTATATATACACATACTTCTGCTCTCTTGACAGATCATTTCAACAAGATCAAATGAAGGAACTTCCAAAAGAGTTTACAAGTTCTAAACTAACTAATTTAGTTGATAATATACGCAAACAATTAGCTATCATGGTTGATGAGAATGCAGTTGAATTACAAGATCGTTTGCAATATATGAAACAGTAAGTTTTAATGAGGTATTATTTTTTTGTCTTAAATAAAAAATCACAAATTCCAATATTAGTCGTAGTGTGATGCGAGCTACTTATAAGTAGTAGATGACGTGAGTGTCAATGTAATGTCTGGCAGAAGAGAAGATGGGGGGAAGATCAAGAAAGGAAGAGTTAGAACACAATGGAATTTGTATGAAACGCATGAATAGTGACAATGGATTGATGTTTTGCAACAGGAACAGTCCAGTTCGATATGATGAACTGATATTTTGCAAATGAACAATTTACGATATGGTTTTCCGATTTTACTGAGTAACTCTGTAATTTCCGTTAAATGCGATTCGGTTGCCCCACCTGTGTTCTCGTTCACTACAGTAGTGTGAACTGACCAAAACAAAAGTGAACATTGTCTAATGTAGAGAAGTAGACTGGAAGAAAGCAACTAGAGGTGTGGCCAAACTAAGACTTGACACAAATCCATGAATTCATTGACGAGCAGACTAAGCCGTGTTCGCAAATGTAGAATTACCTGGTCGGGGTCTCAAAAACAACTACTTACTTACTTACTTACTTACTTACTTACGCCTGTTACCCCCAATGGAGCATAGGCCGCCCACCAGCAGCATTCTCCAACCAACTCTGTCTGTTCTGGGCTTCCCTCTCCAGTTCTGTCCAATGTTTGTTCATTTCTCTCATATCGTTCTCTATTTCTCGGCGTAATGTGTTGTTCCTTGGCCTACCTCTTTTCCTTTTGCTCTGAGGGTTCAATGTGAGGGCTTGTCTCGTAATGCAGTTAGGTGCTTTTCGTAGTGTGTGTCCTATCCACTTCCACACCTTCTTCCTGATTTCCTCCTCCACTCGAATCTGGTTTGTCCTCCCACAGTACGTTGCTGATGATCGTGTCTGGCCAACGAATCCGAAGTATTTTGCGTAGACAACTGTTCATAAACACTTGTATCTTCTGGATGATGAATTTGGTAGTTCTCCATGTTTCCGCTCCATACAGTAGAACTGTCTTGACATTTGTATTGAAAATCCTGATTTTGGTTTTGGTTGGAAGTTATTTGGAGTTCCAGATATTTTTCAACTGTAGAAATGCAGCCCTTACTTTGCCGATCCGTGCCCCCACATCTGCATCGGATCCACCTTGGTTGTCGATGATGCTGTCCAGATATGTAAAGGTGTTCACGTTCTCCAAGGTATTTCCATCAAGTGTGATTTGGTTGGTGCATGTTGTGTTGCATCGGAGAATTTCGGTTTTTCCTTTATGTATGTTGAGACCTACTGCTGCAGAGGCTGCTGCTGCACTGGTCATCTTCTCTTGCATTTGTTGTTGCGTGTGCGATAGAAGAGCCAGGTCATCTTCGATGTTCATATCGTCCAGCTGCGTCCTAACTGTCCAGTTGATACCGTGCTTCCCTCCAGACGTCGACATCTTCATAATCCAGTCGTCGTATTGTATGGCAACTTGAACGGATGTATCAGGTATGAAGTTCTACGTTGTAACTGACTGACTGATTATAGAAAAGGTTGTTTTTTCTATATTGTCAAATAGATGAGCAAACAGCCTTGTAACAACTTTTATGTGGTAATGAAACGGCCACCCAGTGCTTATGTGTTTCTAAGAGTTTCAATCGAACTTAACAATCTTCACAACTCTATCAATTGTTGATCACAGTTTTCAAACATTCTTAACATTTGACTTTCAATAGACGGACTCGAATCAACCTTTTTCTCCATAGAACGTTTTTAAAAGTTATATTGTTACTGTGATTCGCACTTTGTAACTAACTGCCGCCTTATCCTCATACACTGTAGGATTTATAATTGCCCAAAAGATGAATTTCTTAAATCAGCCTCTACACCGTCACATTCAGAGTCTTTAGCAGGGCTTCGCAGTCAAAATAGGTGACTATGTATATATTTGGTCAACAATGATAATCCGTTTCTGAAATACAAACACAGAGAGAATCATAAACACAGAAATATCGAGTAATGGATTAGTCATGTGTTTATATCTATCACCGATACAAGCTTTATGATTGGTAGTTACAGTAACATATATTATAACCAATCCGAACCTGACTGAGTTTTAATTGGTTGATGTTTAACTCAACTATCGATTGGTCAATCCATTTCTTATCGATCGAAATCAACACACATTGAACTCGCCTTTCTACAATTTTTTTCTCTTCCTCTTCTCTTGTAGAATAAAACCAGAAATGTGCTTAGCTAAATATCATAATATACCAGTGAAAAGTCATAAACCAACTACTATTCAATCTCTGTTGAAACTAGCTCATTATGATAAATTAACTAGTGGTGGTGGGTCGGCGAAGAAATCTAATATGAAAAATCAATTAGCTCCATGGTAATTTTAAGTTACATAATATTGATTATGAATTGTTTTACATCTCTTTTTATTTTCATAATAGAGTTAGTTGTGTGGAGATTGTTGAGTTTCGATCTTGGAAGTACTGAACGGCCGTTTCGTTAGACTATGTGACTCATTTGCAATGCGAATCCAGAACCTTTACACACAAGAGTTAAACATGAGACCTTAATCTCATACGCGAACGCTTAGCCCCTTGACGCCTGAGTTGGCATTCAATGGTGTTAATGTCCTAATCTCACGCACCAGACCGAAGGTTCTGAACTTGATTTCCATGAGTAGCGGTCATGGATGTGCACTACTGACGAGTTCCATGCTAGGACGAAGCGGTTGTTCAATGTTTGTGATCTGTAGGTTAAGATGTAGTGTGTCGATTTACTGCGTGTTCTTAAGCTCGGTAATGAACTCGTTCAGATAATCGTTGCCAAATAGCCTGTGACGGTTGATAAATCAGAAGATGAATTCGTAGTGATGAATACGTTTATTCGGGACACACCACAAAGCGAAGCGGAGGAGCAGTGAATAAAACGAATGAAGCGACGTGAACTGGAGAAGGCTTTTGAGCCAACTCCATGGGTTACAATGCGAACGAACGGGAGAAGTAAGCGAATGGATAGGCGAAGTGCGTTGGAGAAGGCTAGGAGCCAACTCCTAGAGATAGAACATGACTAAGAATATGTAGTCAGACCAAAATAGGACAGACATATGATCAACGGGATAGACATGCACACACATGAATAAAATCGACGAATAGTTGAAAAGGTCAAATGACAAGTGGGACACGTCATGTGAGCTCGTCACACAACCCAGACAATCATAAGAACGAATGGTACATATAAGTTGTTGCCACTCAAATGGCTTGGTTAAACAAATTAATCGAAAGGGCTTAACCAAGTTAGATGTAAGCGAACTTCAATATATGTGGAGACACTACAAAGATATCAATTTGTAAGAGAGATAAGTAACAGTGGTTCTTGATAAATTAGCCATAAGGTTTCTCACTAATGTTTTTTAGCACTTTTTATCGTCCTCAGATATGATTGGTTCGTATTTCTTGATTAGCATCTATTTATTTCATCCACACTTGCTCGTTTTTTTTTACAAAGCCAAGGCTTTGGCGTTTTTTTTCTAGCAAGTTGGTTTTTTGAGGGATTGGGTCGTTAACAATCCTATGTCTGACCCTATTCGTTTATCCAAGCTTAGAACTGGCAGTAATGCCAGAAGGGATACGCAGGTGGAATTAACTTCTCATTATACTTACTGCCAGATAAAAAGATGTTAAGTATATCAAAAAAACAATGACTAAAATTCTATTATCCTCAGTGTTCTGGACAGCTGTACAGATCAAAGTAACAATACGATTGGTATATGAATATAAAAGAGTGAAGGTTATTGAATAAAGACTGCAATGTATACCAATGTGTTGGGCCGTTGACCTTGCCAATTATTCGGTTAGAATCTCGTTGGTTTTTATTTGTGTGTGTGTATGTGTTGCTTACTTCGTTTCATCCTAGTGCAGAACTCATAAACATCGCGCGTACACGAACCCTGCTTGTGGAAATTGAATTCGCGACCTTCGATCTCGCTTGCGAATGCCTGTATTGAGTTGTGTTAATGTCTACTCATCGATCTCCGTAACCCAGTACATATGCTCATTGGTGATTAGCTTTGTGAGGGGATTCTCGGAGTTCCAGCAGTGATAAGTTATGACTAATTGAGTTCAATCGTTTCGGGCTTTAAAGCATTTAGTTACATACCGAAGGCAATGGATGAAGTTGACGTTAGACGTTAAAACAGTTGGATACTGACTCAGTGACATAGAGATTAAGCGTTCGTGCACCAGACTGAAGGTTATGAGTTCAACTTCCTGTAATGAGGAGTCATGGATATTCACTTCTGATGAACCCCATACTAGAACATAACGGTTGTACCAGTACTTATAAGTTTCCAATGAAGCGGTCTAACATTGACCGGTTAATTAATTCAATGAAACGCAACAATCTTGACAGCTTTATACTACTAATAAACATTTTATGTTGAATTCTTGATTTCATTTCATATTTTTTAATTCCTTTCGTTGAAGGTATGTGGATATTTTAACTGATTTATCCGATTTGAAATCTGAACCGAAATTTTCTTCGGTTCTATCAAAACTGAAATTTTATGCTGAAGTAAGTAAAATTATTATCAATGTCTATTTTTTTCGTAAAAATAAAAAGTAATAATAATTTGAATTATCCGAAAATTTTTTACCAGTTCACAATATTTAAAACAAAATTTAAATTCACATTCATTTTTACGTAACAATGATAGATAGAACATTATCTTTGTTCGACTTTACAAGAGTTGACTTTCTACCAAGAAAATCGTCTGCTGACTTAGAATATGCCGATGACATAAGTTCTATTTGGTGAAAACGCTAACAAAATGCACTGGTCTTCTGACTACCATAAGCAACAATGCAAGCATGTTCGGGATGCGCTTCTCACCCTCGAAATACAAAATGTTGCCTTAAGATTGGCTTGCGACTTCACCGGAACTAGTGATATGGAGTGAAGTAGTCGAACGTGTCGACTACTTCATGTATCTGGATGGAGAGTCTCATTAGTGCTGATGACCTGGTGATTGACGAAATCTCAGCACGGATACAGAAGACTCGATTGGCTTTTGCCAAGCTGCGTCACTTACGGCGCAAGTGAGATATCTGTTTGCTAACTAAAGGACGAGTGTACTGTGCTGTAGTTCACTCCGTCCTATTATACGGATGCGAAACATGGCCGTTAAGAGTAGAAGATGTTCGTAGGTTACTATTATTCGATCACATATATCTTAGAAGCATTGCTCGTATATCGTGGGACAATCGAGTAAGCAATGCTGTCGTTAGGAAATGAGTACTAGGTAACGATAGCAAATCAATAGATGAAGTGGTGAAACTTCATCAGCTGAGGTGGTTAGGACATGTGTTACGACTGCCTAACCACCGACTGTCTCGACGAGCAGCGTTTTGTGATGTAGGAGTAGGTTGGAAGAAAGCTAGGGGTGGCCAAACCAAAACATGGCAGAAATCCATGAAGTCACTGACAAGTGGACTGAGTCATGTTGGTAGATGTAGGCTACCTGGTTGGGGTCCGCGAGACGAAAGTCACCAGTAGTTAGAGACCTTGAACGACATGGTTTAGAATCGTTTGCAATGGCGCAGGTGCACCCACTCCTTGTGTTCTCACTAAATCTAACCTTCTGAATTCCTTATCATCTCTATCTTTCTCCTTGTAAATTTGCCTCACCAAGTTATACTTCTCCAATCATATCTTCGCTCCCTAACCTTCTCCATTACTGCTAATACTTCTACAATCGCTATCGCTGTTGGATTTGAACTGACAGTTACGTCTCTGTGCTAATGTTGTATGGCAACCTGAACTGATGCATTTCCGTACGAAGTTCTGAGTTGTATCTGACTGTCTGTCTGTCTTACGTAACAATGTTTTAATTTTCGCGTTAGTCTATTATGGACATAGTAGTTTTATCTTGAGATCATGAGTAAAGCATTGTTAGACCACCATTAACAATCTGGAAACCCTGGTCGGCCGTTTCCTCCTAATATGGAGCTCATCGGCGGTGCACATCCACAACTTCTGCTACTGACAGGGCTCAAACCTGAGACTTTCGGTCATGCGCGCGAACGCCTAACCGCTGGACCACTTAGCTGGCATCCAACGGTGTTAATGTCTAACTCTGATCAATCTAAGTATTTCGCACAACCTCATCATTTGATGTCGGCTCAATAGTCTAGAGGTTACATGTTCGAGCATAACAACGAATGTGCTGGATTCGAATTCTAAAAGTACCAGGGGTTGTGGATGGGCATACTGTTAGGATATTCATCCAATATCCTAAGAGAATTATTGGTCAAATCCTATCGGTCGATTTCTATTGGTCAAAATATGGTCGTTTTAACTGTCAAAGTCAAATACTTCAATGTTGTTTCTTATTGGTTGTCCTGACTATCAATGTCACTTCAAATGTTACTTCCTATTGGTCATCTCAGCTGTCAATGCCACATAATTCGATGCTGTTTCCTATTCGACCAAAATGTATAAATACGCATTATCTGAAGCGTTTTATGACCAGGACCAGGACCCGATCCCGGATCCCTAGTCCGGAATCCTGATTCTCTTCTGGATTCGGACCTCGTACTTTCTGGATGCTTGTAGAATACAGGTTCCACTTCATATCATGTCTTCTTGTTTTCACTCAATATGTGTGTTGGGATAACCGGATTAGAGTAGCATGTCGTGTCACCGGATCCTCGATCCTCGCTCTCGTTTTCCGACTGGGTAAATTCGTAATAGTTCAAGTATATCAAGTTGACGTGTTTACGTGGAGGTGTAACACACACATTCTTGTATTGTTGATAGTAACTAGTATGGATAAAACTCGACCTTCGCCGAATCATCTTAATTAATTACCTCTATTCATTTGTAACAACCAATGAAGTTCATTGGGTCATTCAAATCACATTGAAACTTCATAGATAACATGATATTGTTTTTAATTATACCAATAATCAATTAGTCTCAAGTTATTACTGTATATTTATATTTTGTGAATATTCTGTGTTATTTTTTATCTTTTCATTCGAATTTCATTGAACATTGAAACTATTGAACACGTTTAATAATTACCAATTAATAAACAGTTTCAACTATGATTTCTTTACTTCTAAAAAGAACTTCTCCCGGCCTTCTTTTTGCTGTTATTATCATTAATTATTATTATTATCATCGTTTGTTTCAGTTATCGCCAAGTTTATTTACAGTGATCACATTTACTCGTGTATTGTGTTCTTTAACATTGTGGGAAATACTTTCACCAGCAAGTGTTGCAGCTATCGATTTTATACGAACACATATTATAGACATGTCAGCTGATGAATATTTTGATTGGTTATATCAAGTAAGTTTTTCAATCAGTATTGTTTGTAAATTATAATAATCATTTCAACTGAATTTAGACTTTTGGAATATTGAGATGGTGGAGAAGATTTGTAGCTCAGATGGATGATTGTGGTGGTTTTTTGTTCTCTGAGCTGCGGATGTTTTGGTTGTGCAGATTTCATTATTCTTGTTCTGAACAACAACATCATCAGCACAAACTTCAGATAGAAGAAGTGAAGCATTCGAATTTCTCCACGTGCATGACCTGTAGCTTGTTCTGCTAACCTCGATCTTGATTGGTTGCTGTTGACCTTAAACCTAGCGTTGTTTCCACCTTTGTTTTGATTGCGTCCCCCTTTTGATCTGTTTCTTGATCTTATATTTGCTTATGATTTTCCTGATTGGTTGATAAATTGAGTCAATATCGATGTGTTTGTTGATTGCTGATTGACATGAGTGCCAAGCTTCTAAAAATTCTCTAGTGTTCTTTGTCCTCCCACCAACCCAGTATTTCCAATCGAATGTAGTATGTCCATAATTGTCGGTGTGTATTGATATAAGCGAAGAATTGTCATGGCGTTTGACTGATCGAGGCTAGCTGAACAAGTTACAGGTCAAACGTGGAGAGATTCGAATACTTCACGTCTTCTACTTGAAGTTTGTGCTGATGATGTTGTTCAATAGGAGAACAATGAAAGCTCCACAACCAAAACATCCGGCTCAGAGAACCAAACACCACCACAATTTGTTATTCATGCTTTTGATCTCTGCCTCAAATTCCTCATCCAATGTGTTTCTTCAGTCTTTCTCTTTTCCTATGACCTTGAACATTGCAAGTCAAGGCTTGCCAGTTAACTTAAACATTATCATTTGAATATTGAAATCAACCTAATCATTTAATTATTTGTGATATTGTTAAAATTCTTCTATTCATTTATTTGCCTGTTTTCTTCTTCTTCTTCTGTGATGTCATAGACGTATCCAAAAATCAAGGAATTTATCAATCAGAATATAAAAATTTGATATTTGCTGCAATAATCACTGATCAATAATAATCAATGGCTAACTTCATTTGTTGTTGTTGTTCAATTAAGATTTGGATTTCATCATATTTGCGAATATTTTCTTGTGATCATTATTATTTATTATTATTATTATCTATTCAAACTACTTATTTAACTATTCATTAATATATATCTAATTGTGAAATAAATTTGATGAGTGTTCTGTTTTTTTGAGTTCTTCAGTTGAATAATAATGTATGTCTGTGTTTAAAAAATAATCAGTCAATCAGTCAGTCAGTCAATGAGAACGTAGAACTTGGTAGGTAGATAGGTACATCAGTTCAACTTGCCGTACCACATTAGTTCACAGAGATCGAATAATCAGTTCAAATCCCATATTAGTAGGGGTAATAGAAGCATTAGCGGTAATAAACAAGATTAGAGTTTGAAGATATTATCCGAGAAGTATATCCCAGTGAGATAAATTGAGAAAGTTTAGAAAAAACTCGTGGAATTCAGAAGATTAGAATATGAGAGAAGACAAAGAATGGATGAACGTGGGCTAGTGCAAACGATTTTGGACCAATCCAAGTCTGTAACCATCGGTTACGATTGTCTTGTGGACCCCAAACCATGTATTCTACATTTGCAAACACGGCTTAGTTTAGTTGTCTATGACTTCATGGATTGGCCACCTCTAGCTTTCTTCCAGTCTACTCCTACAGTAGACAACAGTCAACGCATTCATAACACATCCCGACTATCTCAACTGATTTACTACTCTTGCCTAGTACATTTTTCGTAACCCTAGAGTTGCTTATTCAATTGTCCCAGAATATACAAACAATACTGCGAAGACACCAATGATCAAATGCTAGTAACCTACAAATACTCTTCTACTCTAAGTGGTCATGTTTCATACACATAAAGTAGGGTGGAGCAAACTGCTGCATAGTAAATACATCCTTTACTTAACAAACAAATATCTCGCCTATGCCATTATTAAGGCAAATCGGCAAAAGCTAATCGAACCTTCTTTATCCGTGTCAATGTTTCATCGGACTTCAGGCCATCAGCACTGATGCGACTCCTAAGATAAGTGAAACAGTCAACACGCTCGACTACTTCACCCCCTTTGACTAGTTTAAGTGCTAATGCAAGACAATCCTGAAGCATGATTTTGTTTTGAGAGAGGGAGAATCCTTGTTCGTATTAGACAACTAGACAATTAGCCGACGGGTATCAAGTGAGGAACTTAAACTTCACAACGTAGAACTAGTCTATAAGGAACTGTGGAGAAGATTTGAAAGGCGTGGAAACATTTACATTACCTAGGAGGCACCATTTCTAAAATTGAAGAACATCTGGAACTCAAAACACAATATACCTGTCGAAACTATTCTAATACATGGAGTGGAAACTTGGAGAAGTACGGAAAATCATCATCCACAAGATACAGGTGTTTATTAACAGTTGTCTACTGAAGATACATCGGGTCTGTTGGTCAGACATTATCAGCAACAATCTACTATGGGAGAGGACGAACTAGATTTCAACTGAGGAAGAAACTAAGAAAAAGTGATGGAGGTGAATAGGACACACATTAAAAGAAATCACCCAACTGCATCACAAGGCAAACCCTCACTTGGAACCCTCGATGAGAAAGGAAAACAGTTGGACCAAAGAACACACTGTGCCGAGAATTGGAAACAACCATAAAAAGAATGCATACTGATTGGATAGAACTAGAAAACAAGCCTCAGAACAGAATTGGTTGAAGAATTCTGGTCGATGTAAGTAAGTAAGTCCATGGAAAAATACAACGTAAGCAGTTCTTCAACTTGCTGAAACTTTATCTAGCCCCCAAAAAAGAATTGTACACTTCTGTGGAGTACTTCATTTTTTTAGGGCGTTTTATTCTAGTAAACTGTTATGTTCGTCACTAGGTACGCTTGAAGCTATGATGAGTTCACCTTAGTCGATAAACGTGAACGAGACAATCAACGAGCGTCCAGGTTGGCTACATTGAATCCTAAACTGCAAAACAGAAGACTTGATAAGCGTAGAAAGAACATTCTACATACACCCAGTAACCACACAATACAATCAAGCACACAACTCTCGTTTATTTATACATCCATCATAGAAACGTCCTTGGGACAGTCACAAAAATAGCATACTAAAATACACGGCAGCCAATCACAGCCATGGATTTTCGTGGTGGGAAATGAAATCTCAAAGTCAAACGTGAAATCCTAAATAAGGCATTTAACAAGCGAGTTCTGGGGATCTAACATCCCCAACAGAATCATTGTTAGACTGTCACTATTAGAAACGTTGAAGCACTGCTGGATAGGCGTTTCGTCCAGATATGAGACTATTCATTAGTGACAGTGTGCATCCATGACTCCTGCTACTCGCAGGAATAGAACTCAAGTCAGTCGAGTCAATTACAATTTAGAAGTGGTCAACTTACACACTTGAAATTTACTCCTTGTTCTTCTAAGAATTATGTTTTCTAGAGCTCTAGTTAAAGATGAAATGTTTTTTTTAAGGTGGTTGTAAAATTGATCATTCATATTTTTATATTCCTATATACTTTAGACAATGAACAGAAAATCAAATCAAAATAAATATGACGATTTATTTTAGAGTTGCAAAGATATTGTTATTCCGCGTTGAAATCGTGAATCGATCCATGTTAGACCACCATCCGTAGAAACCTGAAAGCACTAGAAGGCCGTTTCATTCTCGTACGGGACTGCTCATCTAAGATTCCAACTGCTCGCAGGATTCCAGTCTAGGACCTTCGATCCTGCTTGCAAATTCTTAACCTCAGGACTATTAAACTGGAATCTGTGTTGATGTTTAACTCGGATCAATCTAGAAATTTTTACGCAACTTCACCGATTGGCCTTTGGGTAATTATTGCCTATCTAGGTAGTTTAGGTAGGCACCTTACTCAGTTTAAAACCAAAATAAGTGATTTGGGTAAATGATAGTGGTTCTAATATTCATCATAAATATAAATATACATCATTCATTACTCAAACAAATATTACCACTCAGTTATTCAAATTAACAGCAACAAATAAATGTTATTTCATCCCTCCTGGATAGATCAGATCCGTTCAAAGGATAATATTTGGTTACTTTATAACTGAGTGTTTCCTATTATGGAAGAGTGCTTCAATTGACAATCAAAATGCACAATTCCAGTCAATGCAACCGACACAACGAACTTACTTACTTTTACTTACGCCTGTTACCCCCAATGGACCAAAGGCCGCCAACCAGTTTTCTCCAACCAACTCTGTCCTGGGCTTCCCTCTCCAGTTCTGTCCAATGTTTGTTCATTCTTCTCAGATCTTTCTCTATTTCTCGGCGTAGTGTGTTCCTTGGCCTTCCTCTTTTCCTTTTGCCTTGAGGGTCCCATGTGAGGGCTTGTCTCGTGACGCAGTTAGGTGCTTTCCGCAATGTGTGTCCTATCCACTTCAACCACTTCTTCCTGATTTCCTCCTCCACTGGGATCTGGTTTGTTTTCTCCCACAGTACGTTGTTGCTAATGCTGTCTGGCCAACGAACCAGAAGTATTTTGCAAAGACAACTGTTAACAGATACTTGTATCTTCTGGATGATGGTCTTCGTGGTTCTCCAGGTTTCCGCTCCATACAGTAGAACTGTGTTGACTTTTGTATTGAAAATCCTGATTTTGGTTTTGGTTGAAAGTTGTTTGGAGTTCCAGATATTTTTCAATTCTAGAAATGCAGCCCTTGCTTAGCCAATCCTTGCCCTCATATCTGCATCGGATCCACCTTGGTTGTTGATGATACTGCCCAGATATGTAAGGGTGCTAACGTCCTCCAAGGCATCTCCATCAACCAAAGGAGACACAAATCAATATTTCTGTCGCCATAAATGCAGTTCAGAAAGAAACATAGAAACTCAATGAAGGCAGAAGAAATAGAAACTATCATAAAATATAAATATTATCATCTCAAAAATAGAATCGAACAGATTAACAAAATGGATTACTGAAGGAATCTCAATAAGGACGAATTACAAATATATAAATGGAGGAATTTTCACAAACAGAGCCTTCAAAAATGGATCTTACATTGCCTATGGGTTATAAACCTAATAAGCTAGAGATGGATAGTAGTTTCACAGTGGAATTCACAATAACAAATTTTATCCTACTTCGAACTCATCGTTGATCGGATATATCTGCTAGTCACTCACTAGTGAGTACATGTAATTTGCATTACGGGGTTGTTATGAAGATTGTTAAGTTACACTCCGTGAATTGATCAAGTTAGACATTAACATCGTTAGATATCGGCCAGCTTGGTGGTCCAGAGGTTAAGCGTTCGCGCACAATAACGAAGGTCCTGGGTTCGAATCCTGCGGGGTGCAGGAGTCATGGTTGCGCACTGCCACTGATGTGTGGTCCCATACCACAACGAAACGTCCATCCAGTGCTTCCAGGTTTCTCATAGTGGTCTAACAATGATTGATTGACGTTTAAAACTACAAAATGTGCTCAATCTCTCTCTTCACATGTAATGAATATGTCTATTATTTTTCATGACTAAACTACATAAAATCTCTATGTCGGATTAATTTAGTAATAACCGAACATTTCAATATTCACTACATATATTTCATACAACTTTTATTCAGTCAATCATTCATTTTATATGTTTTATTCAATGATCAATTTTTATCATGACAAAATTATTTTCACCATTTTTATAATTCATATTATTTGTTTTTAAAAAAATAAAAATTGAAAAATATTTTTTTCTAAAAATGTATCAGTCATCAAAACTGAAGTTATTATATTTTTTCTCTTTATCGTTTGTTTGAAAATTTTAATTACTTTCATTTTTATGAAATTATTAATTATTATTATGATTGCGCTACAAACAATTTTTTTCAATGTTCAATCTATTTTTCAAAAAAAAATTAATCATAATTAATCATTTTTTTCCCAAAAAATGGAAAATAATTAATATGGATAACTCTTATTTTGTGTGTGTGTGTTTTTCCTCCTCATTTAATGTACTTACAAAGAAAATGAAAACACATAATGAACACATTGAACACATTGAACACATAAAATTGAACGAGTTGAACATTGAACACATAAAATTGAACGAGTTGAACACATTGAACACATAAAATTGAACGAATTGAACATTGATTACATATATACATTTATA